GCATCGTAACCGCTCCTGAGAGTCCCAGGACCACGTGAGATGAGGAGTGCCACTGGGGCGAGCAGACCTCTCGTGACATCAGCTTTGGTAGCTCCCCCTATATATGCTATTTCAACAGTTCGACTTGGAGGAAACATGATATGTTGAACAAAACCCAACGAACACGTGCAAGTGAACATGGTGTCTTGTGGCCAACAACAACTCACACAAAGGGAGAGCCAGGGAGAGCCTCTTGGCGGTTAGACTTCCAAGTGGCAAAATCAACTCTCCGGCCTGAGCCCTCCGAAAAGAGCTGCATGTTCATGATGAACATTCAGGAACTGACTCAATCTGTTTAGAAAGCTCACAAACAGAATGCAATGTTTCTTTCAGCAGTGAAGCATTGTCACTGAGACCTTTGCGGTATTCACGGACCTGGCGGAATACTCATCTTCGCGCTCCCATGCCACCTTTCCTTCACATCCATTTGCATGTCCCACCCCCAAAAAAACATCAACCCTTCTTAATGCTGTTGGGTTGCAACCCCCCTTGGTGAACACACCCCACATGAACAGCACAAGACCTCCTACCTACGACCTCCTACAACCTCCTTCTTTCAGGGCATTCCGACTGACATTTGGAAATCCCAGAATTGGGTCGCTGAGCCGACACTTTCAAGGTCCTGCTTGGGGTGGTGCTTTTGGCATCCTCCCAACCCTGTTGGTAAACACACTTTAGACACAAACCAACAGCTGACTAATAAGCCGAACATCTCCAAGGTCCAGGTCCTTCGTGACCCTTTGAGATCCCATTGTTCTTTGACATTCCTCCCAACCCACCCTGGCTGTTCTAAGCTGCCAAGGCTCTTGGTGACGTAGTAAGCTATGTTCGGCAGGAATCCTTGGACTCCTGCTTGCCGTACAGCCACCCAAGAGCTTTCCAACTCCTCCAAGCACAACGGTGCACAACACGCATCTAACCCAGCGCAGGCGATGGGGAAGACGTCTATCACAGGGAACTCGGGAGGATGCCTCCCAAAAAACACCTCGAACATTGAACAGACATGAACAGTCTTTCAGGGATAGAACTTATCACGGTATTACATTTCTTGGTTTTGCCCAACACAGGGTAAGAGTGTCAGAGTGTGCATGGGAACACCAGTTGTTAGCAATCCAGAAAAAAGTTGAGGAAGTGAGTTCAGTCCCATGATACAATAAAAACATCCGATTTCCTCTCACTTCCCTCAAGAGGCAGTTTTTGGACTGTGCCTGTCTGGAAGACCCGAGCCCTGAGATCCGGGTGGCTAAACCAAAATAGCCCGTACAAGGGTACAATGCTTCAATGAACACATGCTAAATCCTTCCGTTGACCCAAATCATCCCAAAATCCTTGGTGGGCAAGCCCGAAATCAAGATGAATCACATCCAACAAACAACAAATAAACAAAAAGAACCAGCCACTTCTCGACTCCCTACTGCGCCTTGGCCAAGTGTTCACCGGCGAGAACTGCGCTCGGATGATCGACGAAGTTGATAAAGCACATGTCGATGTTGCGTTTTCGCCGGTGCCCTCAGCCACCAGTGGCACAGTATGGTTGTTGGAGAAGAGAATAGACCAGGTGGAATCCAAAAGGGGTGAGGGGAGGGTAGCCGGGTAGCAAATCATCCTGTCCTGCTTGCTGTTGAGGTCACAGGTTCTGGACATGAATGGCTCTAACCACCCTAGGCGGGGCGGCTTCCACGCAACCCAAAAAGACTCCAACAAGAAAACGGAACAATCAACCCGTCGACCTTTGGTCGTTGCTCTCAACTGTCCCAACTCTGCCCGGCGAAGTGGATAAAACTCTGGCACACTAAGGCGCTGGAGCGTGGATAGTAAAAGAGGTCATACCGTCCCGGAGCCACCTGGTCGACCAGCTCCTGGGTGGCGAGCAAAGCAAAGTCGGCGATGCGATGTGCCTTTTCAGCTTTGTCTTGTTCTACTTGTGTTCTTGGAGTCATCCAAGAGGTTGTCTTTGATACTAGCACACGAATCCTAAGCAGCGCCAACAACAGCCCTCTTAGCAGTCCAACCTAAAATTCTAAAGCCCGGGTCTTTGAGTGACCAACATGTATAAAGTAATGAGATTCACCCTTCATCCGAAAGCAAGCGCAAACGAGATTCCATCAACGTCTCGCTGGCCAACTTCGGCGGAAGGAATTTCAGCCTCATGCCGTCGAGCTGCGAGCGAACAGACTCATCGCGCTTGGGAAGGCTGAAGAGTGTGGCTTGGTTTGAGGGTTCTAGTTGGCTGGAACAAAGTTACGTAGTTCTCTTGTGCCAACATATAGCCTCATATAGCTTGACCCTTGCGCCAGGCAACAGTGTCAATAACTTGATCCTGGTCTTTTTTTGGGGACCTGCAAGGAATCCAAAAAGTAACCAACCATCTTCATTGGAAGTCTGACTGTACGAATGATCCACATTCATGCGAGGAACCACCAACTGGAGTTCCTCCTTCTGTGTCATCTTCCGCTGGAACCCAACATTGAAAACGCCAGTGGACCAACTTCCTCATGGGCTATCGTAGATGTTGGGGTATAGCAACAGCTCTAATGCAAGAATAACCTTGCTTTTTGGATCTTTTTGGTGACCAGCGCTATACTTGTCCTCTATGAAATCTTCAGCCAAGTGGTGGCCCACGGGCCCTTGGTCCGAGGCATGATTGTGGTTGCTCCATCTTCGAGATGAAACCTGGCGATAGCTCATGCACCCATCAGTGTGGAATCCCGTTGCTCACCAAATCGCATCAGTCATGAAGTGAGGTGGCCGAACCCCATAATCCTCATGAAATTCCAGCCAAGAGAAAATAGATCGTTCAAATAACATGAGTGATATCGTACAGGTTGGTACAGGCTTTAATAAATATTAAAACATCGTACCATTGACCATGTGCTGTGTGTTCACTAAATGGGGAGCCAGGACACCTTACAAGTCTTTTTGATCAGGAAATTTAAGAAATATATTTCCATGATAATCCCTCTATTGCGGATCTCCAAACAATAGATTCTATTCTATGGCTACCCCGCAGAAAGAAAAGGTAGAAAAGGATCGGAAGCCGCAAATTTATCTAATTGGAGACCATGCAATCCCATTGTAGGATCAGAATCTCCAAAAAAATGCCATATCGAAAAGCACTTGTATTCTTCTCCAGTTCTTCTAAAGCAAGCATTCCGTTTCAGTGGGCATTTGTTCGTGGTGAAGGGTCAAAGAAAGATTAAAGAAGTAACTTTTTTCCATTGCGGCTCAGAACTTCTGACCCTGGTCGAGAAAAGCAATGAAAAAGGATGACAGGTGACAAAGCTGTTCGAAACCATCTTCCTTTCCAACCTTGTCAAGATCAACACCACCCATGGCCTGTCTTCATCTGCCAATCGGACGGTAATTCTCGCCAATTTCATCAGCAGCCCGCCTGAGTGCAGAACGCCGGAAAAGCTCTTAGCAGTAGTTCACCCATTCCAATATCCCAAAGCATCCCAAAGGCATGAGAGGACTCTTCAATGCAGGGCAAACCTTCATTCTCGATCAGTTCTTGCAGCGAGTGTTTCACACCATGATGAAAGCCAGCACCAATTGCCACCAAGGCGCGGCCAAGACTACTGCAGAAGGCGACGCATGTCGCCCCGCTCAGAAAAATTTAACATGACCCTTACAGCTGAGCCCAAACCGCAGCAGTGGAGCGTTCACGAGCACAGGGGAGCGTTCCCTTGAGTGAGCTCACGTGATTGGGTGGGAGGTCGGGAGAATTGAGTCTAAGGGGTTTGTAAATTCACTAGTTTTTGCTACAAGCCAGGAGGATCCAAGAAGTAGCTCATACCAACAAGTAGTTGACCAAATGGTGGTACTGCTTCAACGAACCAAGTTAAAGAGAGTCGACGGACAAAGGTGGAGAATCCTGCGCGTCCACAAAATCAAGAAAAGTTACCCCATGGCGGTCGAACAGAGTGGAAGAGAAACGTTGGAGGCAGAAGTGGAGCGGGTTTGGTTCCAAGATGTTGGTTCCTTCCTGACTTGTTTCTCATCGGAAAGTCCCATGCGTTCATCCAGTTGCTGTCGAGAGTGGATGATTGTGGGGTGGTGATAGATTGGAACGTTTGGAATAATGTAGAGAAACAGTTGCCGCAAAAGTTTACAGGCTGCAATGTGCAGAATGCAGGATGCCATTCTCAAGCCATACATCATACAGGAACATCTCAACCCACTCCCCCGAGGATTCGAGGATCTTTTCACTCAAGCCAAGCTCTTTCGTTCCTCCAACGACTTAGTTCGTCTTTGGATGCCGTTGGGCTGCAACGATGGTGACACACACAGTGCCTTGGCCATGAGTTGATCTTGGCCAAGAGCTCGATGCTGCCTGGAGCGGATTCCTTCTTTGTGGTGTGTCCTACTATTGTTGTTGTGGCAGCTTTAGAAAGAAACTGACGACATGCAGCAGCAGGGATAAGCAGCAGGGAAATCAAAAGCACCGCCACGACATGCAGCGATACACACATTGTATCAGTGTAAATAGGATTAAATAGGATGGTATAGACAGCATGAGAATCCTCACTTTCCTGCATGAAGCATCAGGAACCATTGCAAAACATTCGCCCAAAATGGCAAGTTGATCACAAGAAATCACAAGAGTTCCCTGGGAAGGATCGGTCCCCCACCCTGAAGCACCTCAGCCTGATCGCCCGTGCTGATGCCGGAAGCGCTCCAGGTTTTCGCGGCTGGCTTGGGTCTCCTCGTGGTCTGGGCCGTGAAGCTCCTGCGATGAGTTTTGCCGCAGAAACAGGGTTTCATAGAATTGGTGGACGGTGAGTTGTTTGCTCAAACGTTAGGGGGTATAGAGGTGCACCTCGAAAACGACCAAGTCTCTGACAACAAGACGATACCTCTTGACTCTTTTTCAGTATACTTTGTCGAGTAAGCGTGCACCGCACCATGAAACTCTGAAAACTTTTGTGAGAAATGAGTTGAGCGACAAATTGTCATTGATGCTCATTGAGCAATCGATCTGCGGAGTGCATGGCATCCTTTCAGCGTCTTTCGATTGTCGGGTTGTCCTCCATGCCGTTCAACTCTCTGATGAAAAGCTCTTCAGCCTGGACAATCGGCTCTCTAATTCCCGAAGCTTCAAGCTCGGGCATGATACAACTTAGCCAGTGGGTACGTCCGCTAGCATCATGGTAGGCAATCAAAGAGAAAGCTCCAAGTTCCCAAACGTCCTTTTTCATCCTTTTCCAAGGGTTCGCATTGAGCGAAAACGGCCATTCACCCTTGAAAAAGGTCTCACACTTCCAAATCGCTTCTGAATACTTGCTATTGCCCTTTGAAAGGTCTCGGCCTGAGGTCTCGGCTAGCGTGACGCCTTGAGTCTCCAATGTCTTTAACTGTCATGGAACCCCATGATGACTCCAGATTCATTGCATCCCCAAAAACTCACCACAAATCCAAAAACCGGTTCACCTCCGCCCATCCGCGGAAGGTCCTCCCCTTCAGACCCTTGCTCCCCAGCGCCTCGGCGATGGAGCCGGTCGCCTCCAAGAGCTCGGCTAGGCCATAGACGCTGATCAACGTGTCCGGATGCCCGGCTCCCAGGTGCTCCTCGCGACCCGCCACGGCTCTCCGCATCAACGGTTCCGCGTCGGCAAAGTTCTGCCGCTTCATGAGGACACCCGCCAAATTGTAGACCCAGGTCAGGGTGTCTGGGTGTGAGCGCACGAGATGCGCTTCACCCCCGGCAAGAGCTTTTCGGTAAAGCTCTTCTGCTTCATTGAGGTTGCCTTGGTCTTCGAGAAGCGTGGCGAGGTTGTTGACCCAAATCAAGGTCTCTGGATTTGCTGCTCCAAGAAGAGCTTCCCCTCCTTCCTTGCATTTCCGGGCGAAGGGCTCCGCTTCATCCAAATTGCCCTGATCCTGCAGCACGAGCGCCAGGTTGTTCAATGACACTAAGGTCTTTCGATGCTTCGAGCCCAGCTGATCCTCGCGGCCCGCCAGGACCCGGCGCTGCAGCGCCTCCGCCTCGGCCAATTGGCCTTGAAGCCTCAGCACTTCCGCCAAGTTCCCCACGGATGCCAGCGTCGCCAAATGCGCAGCTCCCAGGCGGCGCTCCTGCGCCTCCACCGCCCTGCGGTACAAGTCTGTCGCTTCCTTCCACTGCCCTCGACGCTCCAAAACCAGCGCCAGATTGTTCAAATCAATGAGCGTGTCCGGATCCTCGGGACCAAACTGCGCTTCGCGCGCCGCCAGGATCTGCCGCTGCAGCGTCTCCGCCTCGGCCAGGGCGCCACGGAACTGCAGCACCTTCGCGAGCCTCCGGGAGTCGAGGTCCAAGGATCGGTTGGAATAGAGAAAGGACCTTTTTAGATGAAGAAATCGTTTTATCATATGATTAATTCGATCTGTAATATGTTGATATGTTATTTGATTTAGATCTGTAATAATCGGATTGTCTTTAGACATGTCATTGAAATCTGACAAAAACAAAAGATGCAAAGCCATTCTCTGAATTTCCAGCACATATTGCATCTGCAGTATAGTCAGTATACTATACAAATTGCCTGAGAATATTTCTGAAAAGGCCAAGGACGTGACCGGTGTAACGCCAAAAGGGTTTCAGCATGCTCTGAGCCCAGGTTGGTGGTGATGGCTTCGGCGCGGCAGCGGAGCCTTGGCCACTCACAACTCGTTCACCAATCTTCTGTCAACACCAGTGTCTCACTTCTCTGACATCAATTAGCTCTACTCTACGGCCATTCAATTTGGGAGAGCGGTTCAAGCCTAAACCTACAACAGTGTCCCAAAGACAAACAAGCAGCAAAGTCAATGGTTGTGGGGCGGCGTTCGCCACTCTTCAAGTCAGATAGTATCGTATTCTGGTATTCCTTGCATGCCCTGAAAATTGTGAAAAGCTTGCAGCAAGCCACGCACAGGTGCAAGGCCATAGTTGCTAGTGCTTAAAATGCTGAAAACGACGTGTTCACAAAGCTCACTGCCCATCCGGGCACCAAGCATGAGAGACACACAAAGGTTGACTGCAACTGCCTCGTCCAATCTGCCAGCAAGCAAGCACTGACAAGCCCAGAACAGAAGGTCGAAAACTGGGTAAGAAGTCGCCTTGATGATGTCGAAAAACAAAAAGACTAAGGTTTTACTATATATGTACTATATTATCAGCAAACAAGCGTCGTTTCCACCAGCACTGCTCTAGCATGGCCGACCTTCTCCTGAGCAAGCAGCAAAGTGCCCTTGTACTTATACTATAGTTTAGAACGATATTTTTTGCCGTTGCGCCACACCGTTTTAAATGGTATTGCAGCGCGCCCTTGCATCTACAGTAATTAATGCCTGGCATGAACACATGCGAAATCAGCATTGTGGATCTGCAGCTTCAACTTGAAGCTACGCAACACTGTATATACGTGCATTCCAGAAGTTGCGAATGCCCGACTGTTTTTGACTGCGAGCCATTATCGTTCCAACATCCCCTACCCAGAGACGCAAAAACCATCTCAACACATGTGCAACCCTGCCAGAACTGCCTAATTGCTTTTGAAGCTTGGCATGACATATAGTTTGCTTGATAAACTGTTGAATTGAAATTGTGGAGTTGTTGTCCCAACTAAACTTCCATGATAATCTGTTTCAAAGTCTGCTCGCCTCCTGTTGTACTCGGACAACTATGCATTCTCTTGGCGGCATTCCAGGTTCATTCAGCAGCTTGCCAGCCAGATTCCTTGGCCAGCTGTAGATAAGTCTAAATTTGGGCATGGAAGCTCGTTTAATGGTGCAAAAGTGAACTTGGTGCGCTGCACTCCGATCGGCCTGCCCTGTACGGAAGACAAGCAGCAAAACGCACGAACACAAGATAGTTTCACACAGTTGCAAACAAATACACAGGCCATGGCAAATCCAATTCGAGCCTTCTCAACCATTTCCGGCGTCTGTCGTTTTGAGACATCATACGCGCAGCTTGCATCAACCAACATGGGGATGCAATAGGCAACTCTGGAGTGATATTCCTTCAAGAATCTCAAAGGGAATCGGCCCCGGTCTGTCCAACAAGGCTAGGCTAGGCTTGCATGCACGAAAGAAATGTGAACACTGCATGCTACATACTTCATCATCTTCAAACAGCAAACATCAAGAAAAATCACAAATTGTACGCAAAGCTCTCCTCTACCGTTGCCTCGCGGCCTTTCAGTTCGATGTCACGCTTCATCATGTTTCTGTAATTATTATCGAGCAGGGTCTCGATGTTGGGCCATTGATTCGGTGCTTTCCGCACCTCAATCGCCCCACAACACGCAAGACGTGACGCTGCAGTTCTGGTGTGTTAGGGGAAATGCAGTGCGGACAGCATGGCTGTATCGGCCCAGGCAGGACCTCTGAGATTTTGCATTCATCGAAGTGTGACACCCGCGTTGGGGTGCCCGCGCAACTGAGTTCTGTACGGAGTAGACACCTGTCATGTCAAACCGTGTGTCTCACAACGGCAGGGGTAGGACAGTCCCAAAACCGGCGCGCACTGTTCTACACGTGCAAGTGATACACCACCGTGGCCAAACATGTTGAAATGAACACCTGCCCAGCAAAACGCCGGCTCCTGAGAGATGCAATGACATCAATAAACTACGAACGTTGTTGCCGTTTCCAAGATCCAGTCTGAGAGAAGACTGACATGCCAGTAGCTGCCCTTGCCTCGACCCCACCAGGCATTGGCCTTTTCACAACGATGCCTGCAAAGGCACGGATGCAATGGAGCTGACTCACTGTGAAGAATTGAATTCAACACATTGTAATGACATTGAACTCTGAGAAAAACACGAAGACTTCCACCAATTCTTTGCTTTCATTGGTGATGTTGTAAAAGCCGAGCTCCGTGGTGTAGTGGAAAAAGCATTCTACGTCACCAGCACCACCAGCACCACCAGCACCAGCTTGCGTCAGATCCTAAGATGTCAAAGGGCATGGATCAGGCAGAGGTCCGACATGTTTCTTGGTCCGCCAGAGATAGCCTTTGGGGCTGCAGGCTGTCACCAACAAGGAAAGCCACGTGCTCGGGGGCCCTTTGTCCCCAAGAGCTTATTGTCCAAGGCTCTGAAACCTGAAATTATAGAAAGCACTGCAGGTGTCAACTCTAACCCGTTTGCCTATAGACATCACAAAGCTTCGCGCTGTTTAAATTTTCTTGCAGTCCCTAACTTACGTCAAATACATCATGCAACAAACATGTGTGTGCAACAACTTAGGTCAGGTCAAGCGCGTCTTGCCAGACCTGCAAGAAACTGCTGCTATGAATGCAGCTCAACTGTCAACTTGGCAACTGTGAAGAGGTGTGACGAGACGTTACGCAAATCCTCACATTGATGGCACCTTGATGTTTGACCCCTTGTGGAGCCAGCACCAGTCAGCCGCATCGTGTTCATACTCCTCGTGAGCGAACACACCACCTTCCTTGTAATCTTTCTCGAAGTAGCGCTTGAGACTGGCCTACGTAGCAAAACGGCGGTGAGATACTCATACACAGGGCAAAATCATGAAGATGACTTGCCCTGAAGCAAATGGCAATTAGTGCAGTCCCACCCACCTTGTGGCAGAAATTCTCGGGTGGTGATATTTATATAATTAGAGTCCAAATCAAGTTGGCTCCAGTATGTCAGGCAAGTCGGGCAACTAGGAGCAAGATTGAGCAAAATAAGTTGTTCAGCGACTCGCATGAATCATGGCCAGTGTTAGGGGGCATGGCTACAAATCTCCTTATTTTGAGTACCACAAATCTCCTGCTATTCTAGAACGTACACTAGCATGTCGGGTAAGTCAGAGGATGGAGAGCCTGCACTAGAATTGATCACAGATTGATACAATTTTGACCTCTACAAGCTGGCGGAGTCTAAAGTTTCAAAAGCAACATACGATCAAGGAATTCAAGTTCCCCTAAACTTGTATGCGATAAATCAATCCTTGCTAAACACTACAAGCAACAGAAACAACTTGGAAATTGGTTATATATTGAACTGAAAACCGGGTTCTCTTTCAAAACAACATATCACATCGACATTGAAGGCATTCATCTGGTTGATCGAACTTAAAGAGTGAACTGGCTGTTAGAAGTTCTTCAAGTCCCTAAGACTACATGAGACTCGAATCTCATCATTGTTTGAGTTGCGCCGCTGTGCCTCAGGCGCTGAAGGTTCTTCCCTCTGCCCTTCTCGCAAGCCATCCCCCGCTGCTGGCTGAACCTGGTCTCAGGATTGGATTACAAGCAAGGATCCAATCCATGTGACATGCACAAAATGTCAACACATGCAAACACAGTATCTATATATTATGAATACATTGCATTTGATTGCATTGATAGAGCAAGTTCCAAAACCCTGGCATGTGCGGAGGCTCAAGTGACAAATCTGTCAACATGTGCCTCAATCTGTTCCAGACAAATCTCTTCTAACGCGCCATCTCGCATGCTGCTTTCAGCTTGCTGTACCTGCACAATGGCAATCAACATGAGATTGTCAACAACTTCAAGCCTCTTGCTCGTCCATTGGAGCATGCCGGGCATGCCGGAAAGAAAATAATGTCAACGGAAACAAGACTTGCTGGCATCTCACTGTCACCGAATCCCTGTCGCAGAATCCAATGACCAATCAAACACAGGCCTCTTCGCGGCCAACTGAGTCGGCACCCTTTCTTAAGTACGACTAGCTTAGAGTATTCTCCAGTCACATCTCCTGCTTGGAACACACCCAAAAGCGTTCTGAGCACATTCCGAGCACGAACAGTGCATTCACATTCTTCATGTTCCAGGACATCAACAGCACCGATGAAAACCGTCGGAAAAAACCGGAATTGAACCGCCGAAGATGCGACCTGACCAGGTTCCGGAAGCCCCGGGCCCGTGTCAACCCCCATATTCCGGAAGCGGTTCGTGTAGCGGATAGCGATGGTCACCCGGTTTCGTCCTGTCCAAAAGCCAAGAGGATGACGCAATGACAATTGTAGCTGGTTGATCTGTTCCTTTCGGGAGCCCTTCAATAGACATATGATGACATATGATGAAAAGGAATATCATGTCCCAGTGATGAGCCTACTTCTGACTGATGCTGAAGATTGCTGAAGGATCACTATAGTTGCCCAATTCTGCCCCAAGTCCACGACCTGATCCGCACTTTTCTCATGCTTTGGCACCTGAAATGGCTTTGGTTGCTGGGTCCTATAGTCACAAGCCAACACTAGTAGAAGCAAGACAGTACTTTTGATGAGGCACACTGTACGGGCATATGCGTACTTTCCATGGCTACAAAATGCTACAAGGATATCCAAGGAGTCCAATTCATATTGGGTGCACTTTTAACTTGGGATTTTTCATGTGTTTTTCGGGAATTGTTTTCAAAGACATTGGCAAAGAGCAGGTTTCTTATTAGTACCTAGCTAATTACAGCAATTTCGTGTCCTTAGCAGAGACACAGGTGTCGTAGCTGGCCAAATACATTGGAATAGTGCAGGTTTCATATTAATTGCTAGCTGATTAGACTAATTTGGGAGCTGTCGTAGCTGGCAAAATACATTGGAACAGCGTAGGTGTCAGAGAAATTCCTACGTTAGCAGAGAAACAGTAAAGAGAAAGAGAACTAGCACAGGAGGCATATATGATTGGTTAGAAGTTCTTGCCCCCGGGACTTCACCTTAAAATATCTATTTTGTGGCAGGCGTGGGTGTCGGAGATGAAGTGCAGATTTCGTGGCGCAGGGGGGGGGGTTGGGGGGGCGCAGCGCCCCCCGCAGCAGCACACCAGATCCAAAGGTTAGAAAGCAAACAAATGGAAAAGCAAAAACAAAAAGAGAAAGGAGAACAGCTGCCAAAGCAGAAAAGCAACAAAAGCAACGAGCTGAAAGACAAAAACACAAAAAGCAGAAAAGCAACAAAAACAAAAAAAACAAAAGCAGCAAAAGCGGAAAAGCAACAAAAGCAAAAAAGCAGCAAAAGCAACAAAAGCAGAAAAACATAAAACAGAATCAACAAAAAGAATGAACACATGAAGAAAAAAACGCCCCTCCATTCATATTCATATAGCGTCTCAGGAATTCTAAGCAGTGATACCCGTTCAATGAACACCAACTAAGCATTCCGCTGTGACACTTGATCCGCTGGTTTCCCACATCACATTGAAACTCAAAACTTGGCACATTTGGTGCCAGAGGTGAATGCTTCACCAACCCATGTGACAGAAAGATAAGAAAGAAAAATATATACATGCGAGTTCATTCTAAAGCATTCACCAGCGGCTATACTAAAGTCAGAAGGACAGATTCTGAACAAGAACAGGTCTCGGATTAGGCTGTCCAGTTCATTTTCCTTCATTCATCTTCAGTTATGTTTCTTCTCATGTCCTATCCCCTTTCTTCACCCTTCTCCACCTCAACCCCTCTGAGAATCTATGTTTGTCAAGTCCAAGTGGCACCAATTGACCCCGCCGAAGCCGCCGACGCCGAGGCCGAGCTGCAGCAACCCATGGCGCTCCCTGCGCGACTTGTCGCTCCCCCAACCAGGTCGGTTGAAAAGCTCCGACGACGCAGATGGACATGGAAGAAGCCCAATCCAAATCGAGGTCACACCTTCTTCTTCCGAACCAACCACATCCAACCACTGCTTTGTACAGTACAATATGTACCTCAGACTCTTTTGGTCTAGGTGATGGACTTTTCTGTCTTTTTCCATCAGGGCAATCCCTGCTCCGGTCTCGCAGCTATCGAACCAGAAGTAACAGCCAG